CCTCCTCCCTCCCTCCCCCGTCCGCCAAAGGAAAGATTCCCCCCTCCCCCCAACCCCTCTCCTGAAATACAAAGAGTCCTCAACGTATTTTCAGGATGATGATGACTACAACCAACACGCAGGGTATCCATCTTTGCTGGTATCGTTGTGACCGGCCGCGAGAAAGTGGTCTGAATAAACAACCTTCTTTATCTCCTTTTCATATTTCTTTCACCATTTCTTTTCACATTTGTTCATTAGTTTCTCTCTTCTCTCCTCCTCCTTTACTCTTCTGTCTATTCCTCATAATGCCTCTCCCTGAGACACCCAATCTGCCCTACACTCTATCCTACTGTACATATGTGGTTCATTCTTTGTTAGCTAGGACATGTGGGAGTGGGTGAATGACAGCCACCCAGCATTTGATTAATTAATGATCTAATAATAGATTAAAGGCAGAAAAATAAAGGAGGAATGGAAATTTACTGAAGGTGTCACTTTATAGCAGTTGGTAGTTAATATATCATTAATTTCTCGTAATTATCGTTATCTTTGTAGGAAAAGGTAAATAGAAAAAAAATAAAAAATATATTTTTTTTTATCAAATGAGGAAAGAGGATTGTGGATTGTATGTTAAAAGAAAACAAAAATGAAATGGCTTAATATACTCTTTAGTTTCACTCATATTTAACAGACATATAGATAGATATGCTATAAACAAAGAGATAACCAGATAGATATATAGAAGCAGAACAGGCAGATAGAGGGATAGCTAGTGGAAGTAAATGAGAGAGAGAGAGAGAATTTCCAACATATTCAAATGTATAATATTAGCGTTTTCAGCCTCACGATTACAGTTTAATTCTAAGCAAGCATTACTAGATTTGAAATAAAGATTAGATAAAGAAGCTGAAAGTAATGGCTGACCCTAACCCGGCTGCGTCCTCCCCCCAGGTGCTGGAGCTGTGCCGCGGGACGGGGTCGGCGCCGGCGAGGGACGGCTGGACGCACGCCTGGGCCGTCACCACGTGTCGCCAGCGTCTCGCCCGCGCCCACATCGTCGGCGGACGCCCTCACGCCGCCCTCGAGGAGATCGCCGTGGCCCTCGGCAGCGCCCCTGACGGATACGGCGTCCACGCCCTGCACACGCTGGCGGCAGAAGCTCACCTGGAGGCCGGGGAACACGCCGAGGCACAAGCCGCCCTCTCGCGCGCCCTCACCGCCCACCCACACCACGTGCCCGCCCACCTCGCCTTCTCCAGGATGCTGCAGGCCAATGTGAGTTAGGGCGGGGGGGACTGATGTTGATTTTGATGAATATGAGGATGACTATGACTAGCATGCCCATTGTAAACATGGTTATTGAATATGACTACAGTTAGGAATAAAGATGTTTACTGATAATAGCAGTGATAATTTCCATCATGATTCATGCACTTTATACCAGCCTATATCCCCCATTCTACAGATAAATAACATATTTCGTGTTCTTCTTATTCATCATCACAAACCCTCTTCCCCTCTATAGGTCTTCAGCTTTGTTTCCTTATTACGGATCTTCTCCTCGTCCTCCTTCCATTCCCTTCTATCCCCCTCATTTTTCCTCTCTCTAAGAGCTATCTAATTCCTCTTTTCCTCCTTCTATCATTCCTATGTACTTCCTAATAACTATTCACTCATTCCTCCCTCCCTCTTTTTATTTTATTTTTATCCTTCCTAATCATTATCCAGTCTTACCTTTCCATCTCCTTTCAATCCTTCTTGCCTTCTCAATCGCTCCTTATCCTTCCTAATGATTATATAATCCTTCACTTCTCTCTCATTTCTGCCCTTTCTCTATTCTCATCTTTCCTTTGTTCTTCTTTGTAATACCATTTAAGTCTCCCTCTCCTTCTCCTTTTCTTATATATTCTCCCTAGCAATTATTCAATTGGTGCTTCCCCTCTCTTTTCCATTTTTCCTTTTTCATAATAATTTCTTTTATTCTTCCTCCTTCTCATCCTATCCATCTTTCTATCTTTTTTTTTCGTTATCCTTTATTTCCGCCGTTCGTATCTTACCACCTCTCTCCTTTATTCCTACTCCCTATCATTTACGCAATTCCTCTTCTCCTTCTCCTTCCCATACTTCCTACCTTCCAATCTTCCCTTCCTTTTCCTTCCTTCCCATCTTTACTACCTCCCCATCTTTCCTTTCTTTTCCTTCCCTCCCATTCTTCCTCTTCCTTCTTTCTCCTTCTTCCTATCTCCCCATCCTTCCCTTCCTCCGTACTTCCCCACTCTACCTCTCCCATTTTCCCTTCCTTTTCCTTCCCTCCCAACCTCCCCACCTCTTCCTCCCTTCCCTTCTTCCTTACATCCCAACCTTCCCTTCCCTTTCCCTCCTTCCCATCCTCCCTACCTTCCTAAGCTCTTCCTACCGCGTGTCTAACAATATCCACCTCTCTTCCACATTCCAGGGAAGCAGGGTGGAAGAAGCCGAACAGTGGCTCAGGAGGGCCGTAGCTCTGGCACCTAATGAT